CGATATAGTCCATCTTATTGTTGTCTTGTACTCTCAAAGTACCCTCAGCAACTAATCCTCCTCTGATGCTGTTGGATTGTTCGAGTTAAATACTGGAAGTGAATCCTTTTCTCCCAAGTATGCGTAGCAAAGATGAGTGGGCAGCTGTTTGAGTTCAAGAGTTGGAGCATTCTGTATAGATAGTAAAGGTTTTGTGGGTCCTTCACCGAGCTCCAAACATGGTTGTTTAAAGAGTAGTGGTATGGCTGCCAAATAACGTGCACATTCTTCTACTTTCTTTTTTCTGATGGCAAATCCTGAGAATGCACTAAACAAGCCTCAAGCGGATCCTAATGATGATCAAGATTGAATATCTCTCACACTTCTTTTTTTATTATATCAATTTGCATGCAAGAATCTAGTTTGTTTTGAATTTGAAGGCTCTGAACACATTGATTGTCAGTTTCTCTTCATCTAACCTCAATATCAACTGACCCTTTTGCACATCTATCAGAGCACTTTCTGTAGCAAAAAATGGGCAACCTAATATGAGAGGGACGTCCCTATCTTCCTCCATATCTAGAATAATGAAGTCCGTTGGGAAGATAAATTTATCGACCTTGACCAAAATATCTTCACAAATATCTCGAGGGTACTTGATCGACCTGTTGGCCAACTACAGTGAAATTGTAGTCACTTTTGCTTCCTCCAAACCTAGTTTCCTGAAAAGAGATAAATGCATTAAATTAATACTAGCTCCTAAATCACACAATGCTTTTATCTATGTATAAATTACCAATGTTACAAGGAATAGCAAAACTCCATTGATCTTTTAACTTCGGTGGTAATTTATGTTGGAGAATTGCGCTGCATAACTGTTTCATTGTCCTCCAGTATCTTCTTATTTGATAGGATGTCTTTCATGAACTGGGCGTAGCTGGACATCTGAGCTAAAGTTTCAGCGAACGGTATGTTAATGTGCATCTTCTTAAACACATCTGAAAATTTTTGGATTTGCTTATTGAGCTTATGTTTTTGCAGTCTTTGTGGGAATGGGATTGGAGACACATATTCTTTGACAGGAGCGACTGTCTTTACCTGTGGACTATCAGATGACTCACTTTGATTGCCCTTTGTGTCTTTGTCTGATTCATCCACTTGTTTCTCTCCTATGGTAGGTACCTCTTTTGTGACGGTTGCTAGTGACTTTACATGTATGTCTGGTAACTAGACCCTGCTGTGAGTAGTGATTGCTTTGACCTTCTCTTTATGATTTGTTTCGGTATTGCTAGGTAATGTGCCTTGAGCTCTACCTAACAGTGTGGCTGCAATCTGTCCTACCTATTGTTCCAAATTCTTAATTGAGGCTTGTTGATTCTAAAAGTTGGTCTCAATCTTAGTAATGTACTAAGCCAGCAAATCTTCTAACGATGGCTTTTCCTTTGCTGTTGTTTTGCTATTGGAATCCTGGTGGTTTATTCTGATTGCTTCCGCCCTATCCTTGTCCCTGATTGTTAGACCAAGAAAAGTTTGGATAGCTCCTCCAACCTAGATTATATGTGTTGGAAAATGGATTATTTTGCTATCTCTGAAATTTCTGCGCATAACTCACTTCTTCAGACTAATTAACATGTGTAGACACCAAAGGGAATCACGTAGTAATATGATCCACTCCACAACCTTCACAAACCAGTAGAGATTGGTGTACCATGTTAACTGACTGAGATAGATTGCCCATTTTCATTATAAGAACTTTCATTTGCACAGCCAGTGCTGTCATTGCATCCACATTGTGTAACCCTGTTGTTTTCCTTGTAGCTTCCCTATCAGTTGGCCACATTGATTGATTTTTAGCTATTTTTTCATACAGGTCATAGGCCTTATTGACATTAAGTTCCATCACCGATTCTCCCGTTGAAGCATCTATCATATTCCTGAACTCTTGTTTTAGACTATAGTAGAAGAGATACTGCTGAGTCTGCTTAGAAATGTCAAGACTGGGACATCTCTTGAAAAAATTATTGAACCTCTCCCATGCCTCAGGATAGCTCTCGAGATCTTTCTGCTTGAAAATGTGGACTTCGTTCCTGAATGGATACTCCATGGTGGTAAATAGAAGAACCATTCTCTTGCAACGTCCTTCAAGGTATGACAAAATAATTGCATTCAGAATGCATCAGTTGATATTCCTTCGTGACTAATTACCTCATATAGCATAAGAAATGCCGAAATATGTTCATGAGGATTCTCCTGGCTTTTCTAAAGAACCCGATGTCCTATGATTTTGAAAAAAATTGATGACATCTGGTCGGAAATTAGGCTATAGGAGCTTCGTTCTAGATAGCTCTCGATTGATTTGGCTGCGGTATTTGCTCGTGAAGCTGAACTTGATTCGGTGGTAGATTCTGATTATCGACCATTCTCTTTGCTTGATGTTGCACTCTTACGATTTCTATATGTCCTTTCGATTTCGTGATTTGTCGAGAAGAGATCCGACTCATTAGGATTTTGCATTTACCAAATTAGCTTGAAAATAGTCAAGACACAAGAGAATTAAGTAGTGTAATAGTAGCCTGAAACACTAAAAATAAAAAATACAAATGAATTTAAAATATCTAATAACTAAAATTAACACCGTTAATTCCCGGCAATGGCGCCAAAAACGTGTTCGTGAATTTTTCGCAAGCATACATGTTCATTATACAAGTAATAATCGTGATGAAAGAGTTATTATCCCACAGAGAATAAGGTCTAATTATAGTATATTTAATATATTAAAATTCATGTTAGTAATCAAAAGTGATTTGTGCTAACTAATTTTTGTAACTAAAGTTTGTGATATCAATGAAACTTGGTTTAAAAATCAAAGAAGTGAACTATTGAATTTCAGACACCACTGATCAACTCTTAATTCTAATTCTCTACCAGTGATAATTATCATGCAAGTGTGACAATCAATAATTTCACTTCTATTTATTATTCTTTCCCAAAATATAATAAGTCTATAATTACCACGAGACGATCATATTCCTAATTCGAATTCATATGGCTAACATGCATTGACATTTAGAATTATCACACATGATCGCATACGCCACAAATAATATTCCTAACATTTATTGTTCATGTGTTCCGATAACAATGTTCTACCTACCGTAAGTTTTCTAACACTACGAATAATCAATTTATTATCCTAATAGTGCACAAACATTAAAACAATATGAATATACATATTAATGGAATCACAACGCAAGAACTAATATAAAAATATGGGGTCTTGAATTAAAAAACTAAGAATCAAACATTTTTGTCATCTATCCAATACACAAGAAATTTAACCTAACATCTTATTGTATGAAATACATAAAAAATAAAAGAAAGTTATCACCCGAATAATTAAAATATAAAGAGAATCTGGAATCCTTTACTAATGCCTTCAATTTCGGATCCAGGCGATGAAATCTTCATTTTTCAATGTATTTCTCTCTATTTCTCCTCAAAGTCGGCTTGCAATCTAATAGAGACTAGGTTTGGATAAGTTCTCCTATTTATATGATCCCAAAAAGACTCCTTACCAAAATAAAATAAGGAAACCTGAATTTTTTCGCGTTTAACCTTCAGGCGTTCGCCTAGTGTATTCTATGGTGCGCGCTTTAGTGATTTGGGGTGCCGAACTTTTGGAATTGAGACATGTGCCTCGCCTGTAGGCAAGGAGGCATGCACCTTGGTTGCTTTTGGGGCTAAGTTTGCAATTTGATCCCTGAACTTTCTCCAAGGTCTGTTCTCGTTTTTTCTTCACTCTTTTCTTGTACCATTTGCTTATTCTTCATTCTAATATAGTTCCTATATTTCGAATCTTCATTTTGCATCCGTGCCCAACATTTGAATTGTTGCATTTTAGTCCTCGAACTTTATATTTGATGCAAAGTTGCCCTTTTTCTCGTTTATTTTCCTTATTCCCACATCTTCCGTCGATTGTTACCTACAAACAATATATAGCCCCCGTTTGTTTCTCATTTTTGGAAGAACGAGAATGAAAAATATAGCCATTACGAGCCCCACACAAGAGATAAAAATTTAAATTTAGTGACTTGATGTGATGGATAAAGGTTATATTTTTCATTTTAATGAGGAAATAAATAGGAACCAAACAGGGGCATATATAGGATTACGTCTTGTTTCATCCAATTTGTCAACAAAGACTCAATTTTAATGGCCTAAATAAGTGTGTAAAATACATTTCTCACTATTCATTTCCTAGTTGACGATAAAATTTAAAATATTTGAGCCAAAACACTAAAAAAACTTGAGGTGTAAGAATCTAACAAATCTCCTTGCTATCTTAAATCACGTTTTATTTTCATTGGATTGTTGAACATGCCTCAACAGGTAATAATGTATCAAATCTGATTATACAACAATTTCATTGCATTTTAGAAAGTGGACAAATCGTGTATTCTGTAATATAAGACATTGGGCTTTCTTTAGATTAGTTCCTAGAGCTTTGTGAGGGAGGTAAATCGCGAGATGTGTCACAACAAGTCAGGGAATAAAAGCTGCTTGTACACTGCGCCTACAAAGAGTCCAATTCCATATTTCAGGAATCGAATCCCCACATTATGGAATAGAAATTGATTGTTGTTTATATATTGAGAAGACAATGAGTATCAACGGCGATCGCCTGTTCACTGGAGTAGTATCGGCAATGAATGTAGAGTTGTTTCGTGGGTCAAGAGATATCAATTCGTTGAAGAATGAAAGTGGATGGAGGTTTTCGAAATATATGGAAGTGAAGTAGTTTCTTTTTTAAAAACACTTATAAGCCCCCGTTTGCCCGCATTGTTTCCAAATTTTAATGGTTGAAATAATATTTTTTTTAAAAATGTGTTGTTGAAAATAAAAGAGAAAAAGAATGAGAATGGGGTCAAACGAGGGCTTAAGTCATCATCGGATACTTTTTACTTAAATAACTAATATTTAAATAAAAGATATTCGAATTTTGTATAATGAAAATATTGTTCTGATTTTAAAATATTGACGTTTAAAAGTAGGGCTTGATGCAATTTCCACGGCATATGATCTACCCGCTAGCAACAAATCATTCCTTTGGCTTCAGAATTTAACCGAAAGGAAACTATTTTCTTCTTTTGAATTCTCTTAAAATCAAGTTTTTCCAGCTGGGTTCCACCTAAATCACTTGTTTTCGAGGTATGACCGTAAAATTTGTGTATGTGAACTGATATATTCATCGAAAATAATTGCGGATAAACTACACTCCAGCTTTAATTTCGTAGTAACATGAATCATTGACGTTATCGAAAATTCTTTGATGAAATGCAAATGCCCTTTTAATTCTCTTGGATTGGAGCCTTGGAATTTGAATAGGGAATAATTCCATTCAGTTTTGTGAGTTTGCATAAACTCCAATTCCGAGGGTTTAGTTTCAATCTTCTAAGCACAGCTTGAAAGGTAGATTTCATGTTTATTCCAATTATATTACTTCGGAGCAATGAAAAAATGATAATTTCTGAAAATATATAAATATTTTACTGCGCGCTCCAAAATTTGTACTTTCCGTTGGCTAGTATTAGATTTTTGCGATTTTGAACTAACTAGTGGTAATATGGATTAGATGGGGGCTGTCAATTCGGAGCTGGAAGAATTATTCCAGGAGAAAAGGCGAGTTAGGAATCCCTTTGTCCCCATAGGTAAATTTGCTTTCTTTAAATTGCCATTGATGTATATTGCATTTGCTACAATTTTTCTATTACTTTAGCTTGATGTCTTTACGAAGTGGAATTGTAGCTAAGAATTGTAAAATATGTGATATGGGTGCCATAAATTGTTGAATGTGATATTTTATATTTTTAGGTGAATTCTGAATTGTCATTCTTATAATGTCTTGAGTACTTAATGACATCATTGCTTGAGTTTTGCTATCATTTCCCATGCAAAAATATTCTCGTACTACAAGGATTCTTCACTTCACATTCTTGGCTCAAGACTCAATATTTATGCCCGAATTTGTAGTAAATTATTAATAACTACATAATCGAAGGCATGTATATTTGTCTTGTATCAAGAAGCAGGGCACTTTAAAACATATTATTATTGCTCTTTGAAAATGTATGTGTTCTTGTATTTGTGGAACTCTGCGGGTACAAGAATATAAGAAACTTCGCACTGTCCTTTGTCAGATACCTAGTCATAGTTTCTTCTTAAGCCACCAATTTGGAGTCAAGAAAGTTGCTTCATGGGTACATCCTAGCCCTCACTTCACAACTTTTCTTAGAATTGCACACTAAATGATTAGATTTACCAGTCTGATTGATTACAAATGCAGTAGGGACCTCAATTATCTTTAGTTAATATAATGGAAAATTTTGCTGATAAATTGAATATAGTGCCAATTTTCTTAAAATTCTTAGTTGCAAATAATTCTTAATTTCTAGATTGCACTCTCTCTGTCCAGTTAAAACCCAAACTGGATTGATTTCTCCAATTGTTAAATAAATTGTTGAATGTGATATTTTATATTTTTAGGTGAATTCTGAATTGTCATTCTTATAATGTCTTGAGTACTTAATGACATCCTTGCTTGAGTTTTGCTATCATTTCCCATGCAAAAATATTCTCGTACTACAAGGATTCTTCATTTCGCATTCTTGGCTCAAGACTCAATATTTATGCCCGAATTTGTAGTAAATTATTAATAACTACATAATCGAAGGCATGTATATTTGTCTTGTATCAAGAAGCAGGGCACTTTAAAACATATTATTATTGCTCTTTGAAAATGTATGTGTTCTTGTATTTGTGGAACTCTGCGGGTACAAGAATATAAGAAACTTCGCACTGTCCTTTGTCAGATACCTAGTCATAGTTTCTTCTTAAGCCACCAATTTGGAGTCAAGAAAGTTGCTTCATGGGTACATCCTAGCCCTCACTTCACAACTTTTCTTAGAATTGCACACTAAATGATTAGATTTACCAGTCTGATTGATTACAAATGCAGTAGGGACCTCAATTATCTTTAGTTAATATAATGGAAAATTTTGCTGATAAATTGAATATAGTGCCAATTTTCTTAAAATTCTTAGTTGCAAATAATTCTTAATTTCTAGATTGCACTCTCTCTGTCCAGTTAAACCCAAACTGGATTGATTTCTCCAATTGTTAAATTTTTATTATTTTTATTATTATTATTTTTTTCAACAGTTAAAACTAGATGAGGTTGTGTAGTGGTGACATCACGGTTAATTGAGTCAAGCTACGGAATGTCATTCTTCTCAGCTCAGCTTAGCTCAACTTTACTAAATCTAGATGTACACTTTTGAAAGAAACTTTAGGCGATGGAGAAAGAAGCTTTACTTTATGCTGCTCTTTTATTGCAATGATGGAGCTTCATATATTACCACTTTTGGGTGTTGATGACATGGATTTTAGACAAAGGAAAAGTTTACATGTACATAATTATTGCACATAATGTTGTCCATAATGTGATGTGACAATTATTCAGTTGATGTGAAAGTGTGAGATTTGAATTAAAGGTTGGATCCAGTGCCACATATAATTATGGACGCCATTATGTAGACAATTATATACATATAGTACTTCCCTTAGACAAAATATGATCATTCACTATGAAATTAGGATGGACGCTGAAGGAAGTATCTCCCAGTTGGGCTTTCCTTTTTCACTTGCTATAAAGGTCAAGTTTTTTGGGACCATATTAGCATCTACTTCTAGTATTTTCATATTGATTTTTTTTGCAACATGTTCACCAAGCTTTTCCTGCTCCTGCACCTATGTAAAATGGGGTTTTAAGCCAACCGATCCAGCTATTCCCTAATCCACCCCAACTTTTAAAAATATCTATAAATATTACATTTTTACCTACTAAAATTTAATTACAACATTTGAAAATATTTAGTTTGAGAATCTCTAAAATATAAGTATGTGTTTTAATTTAAATGTTTAGTTTTTTTCCGTCATTTGATCATTATGAATGGTTAATGAATGTTATAAATTGCACTCAAAAAATAAAACTTATTGATTTATAGTTCATACTGCTTTCCTATGATTTTGAAAAAAATTGATGACATCTGGTCGGAAATTAGGCTATAGGAGCTTCGTTCTGGATAGCTCTCGATTGATTTGGCTGCGGTATTTGCTCGTGAAGCTGAACTTGATTCGGTGGTAGATTCTGATTATCGACCATTCTCTTTGCTTGATGTTGCACTCTTACGATTTCTATATGTCCTTTCGATTTCGTGATTTGTCGAGAAGAGATCCGACTCATTAGGATTTTGCATTTACCAAATTAGCTTGAAAATAGTCAAGACACAAGAGAATTAAGTAGTGTAATAGTAGCCTGAAACACTAAAAATAAAAAATACAAATGAATTTAAAATATCTAATAACTAAAATTAACACCGTTAATTCCCGGCAATGGCGCCAAAAACGTGTTCGTGAATTTTTCGCAAGCATACATGTTCATTATACAAGTAATAATCGTGATGAAAGAGTTATTATCCCACAGAGAATAAGGTCTAATTATAGTATATTTAATATATTAAAATTCATGTTAGTAATCAAAAGTGATTTGTGCTAACTAATTTTTGTAACTAAAGTTTGTGATATCAATGAAACTTGGTTTAAAAATCAAAGAAGTGAACTATTGAATTTCAGACACCACTGATCAACTCTTAATTCTAATTCTCTACCAGTGATAATTATCATGCAAGTGTGACAATCAATAATTTCACTTCTATTTATTATTCTTTCCCAAAATATAATAAGTCTATAATTACCACGAGACGATCATATTCCTAATTCGAATTCATATGGCTAACATGCATTGACATTTAGAATTATCACACATGATCGTATACGCCACAAATAATATTCCTAATATTTATTGTTCAGGTGTTCCAATAACAATGTTCTACCTACCGTGAGTTTTCTAACACTACGAATAATCAATTTATTATCCTAATAGTGCACAAACATTAAAACAATATGAATATACATATTAATGGAATCACAACGCAAGAACTAATATAAAAATATGGGGTCTTGAATTAAAAAACTAAGAATCAAACATTTTTGTCATCTATCCAATACACAAGAAATTTAACCTAACATCTTATTGTATGAAATACATAAAAAATAAAAGAAAGTTATCACCCGAATAATTAAAATATAAAGAGAATCTGGAATCCTTTACTAATGCCTTCAATTTCGGATCCAGGCGATGAAATCTTCATTTTTCAATGTATTTCTCTCTATTTCTCCTCAAAGTCGGCTTGCAATCTAATAGAGACTAGGTTTGGATAAGTTCTCCTATTTATATGATCCCAAAAAGACTCCTTACCAAAATAAAATAAGGAAACCTGAATTTTTTCGCGTTTAACCTTCAGGCGTTCGCCTAGTGTATTCTATGGTGCGCGCTTTAGTGATTTGGGGTGCCGAACTTTTGGAATTGAGACATGTGCCTCGCCTGTAGGCAAGGAGGCATGCACCTTGGTTGCTTTTGGGGCTAAGTTTGCAATTTGATCCCTGAACTTTCTCCAAGGTCTGTTCTCGTTTTTTCTTCACTCTTTTCTTGTACCATTTGCTTATTCTTCATTCTAATATAGTTCCTATATTTCGAATCTTCATTTTGCATCCATGCCCAACATTTGAATTGTTGCATTTTAGTCCTCGAACTTTATATTTGATGCAAAGTTGCCCTTTTTCTCGTTTATTTTCCTTATTCCCACATCTTCCGTCGATTGTTACCTACAAACAATATATAGCCCCCGTTTGTTTCTCATTTTTGGAAGAACGAGAATGAAAAATATAGCCATTACGAGCCCCACACAAGAGATAAAAATTTAAATTTAGTGACTTGATGTGATGGATAAAGGTTATATTTTTCATTTTAATGAGAAAATAAATAGGAACCAAACAGGGGCATATATAGGATTACGTCTTGTTTCATCCAATTTGTCAACAAAGACTCAATTTTAATGGCCTAAATAAGTGTGTAAAATACATTTCTCACTATTCATTTCCTAGTTGACAATAAAATTTAAAATATTTGAGCCAAAACACTAAAAAAACTTGAGGTGTAAGAATCTAACAAATCTCCTTGCTATCTTAAATCACGTTTTATTTTCATTGGGTTGTTGAAAATGCCTCAACAGGTAATAATGTATCAAATCTGATTATACAACAATTTCATTGCATTTTAGAAAGTGGACAAAGCGTGTATTCTGTAATATAAGACATTGGGCTTTCTTTAGATTAGTTCCTAGAGCTTTGTGAGGGAGGTAAATCGCGAGATGTGTCCCAATAAGTCAGGGAATAAAAGCTGCCTGTACACTGCGCCTACAAGGAGTTCAATTCCATATTTCAGGAATCGAACCCCCACACTGCGGAATATAAATTGATTGTTGTTTATATATTGAGAAGACAATGAGTATCAACGGCGATCGCCTGTTCACTGGAGTAGTATCGGCAATGAATGTAGAGTTGTTTCGTGGGTCAAGAGATATCAATTCGTTGAAGAATGAAAGTGGATGGAGGTTTTCGAAATATATGGAAGTGAAGTAGTTTCTTTTTTAAAACACTTATAAGCCCCCGTTTGCCCGCACTGTTTCCAAATTTTAACGGTTGAAATAATATTTTTTTAAAAAATGTGTTGTTGAAAATAAAAGAGAAAAAGAATGAGAATGGGGTCAAACGAGGGCTTAAGTCATCATCGGATACTTTTTACTTAAATAACTAATATTTAAATAAAAAATATTCGAATTTTGTATAATGAAAATATTGTTCTGATTTTAAAATATTGACGTTTAAAAGTAGGGCTTGATGCAATTTCCACGGCATATGATCGACCCGCTAGCAACAAATCAATCATTTGGCTTCAGAATTTAACCGAAAGGAAACTATTTTCTTCTTTTGAATTCTCTTAAAATCAAGTTTTTCCAGCTGGGTTCCACCTAAATCACTTGTTTTCGAGGTATGACCGTAAAATTTGTGTATGTGAACTGATATATTCATCGAAAATAATTGCGGATAAACTACACTCCAGCTTTAATTTCGTAGTAACATGAATCATTGACGTTATCGAAAATTCTTTGATGAAATGCAAATGCCCTTTTAATTCTCTTGGATTGGAGCCTTGGAATTTGAATAGGGAATAATTCCATTCAGTTTTGTGAGTTTGCATAAACTCCAATTCCGAGGGTTTAGTTTCAATCTTCTAAGCACAGCTTGAAAGGTAGATTTCATGTTTATTCCAATTATATTACTTCGGAGCAATGAAAAAATGATAATTTCTGAAAATATATAAATATTTTACTGCGCGCTCCAAAATTTGTACTTTCCGTTGGCTAGTATTAGATTTTTGCGATTTTAAACTAACTAGTGGTAATATGGATTAGATGGGGGCTGTCAATTCGGAGCTGGAAGAATTATTCCAGGAGAAAAGGCGAGTTAGGAATCCCTTTGTCCCCATAGGTAAATTTGCTTTCTTTAAATTGCCATTGATGTATATTGCATTTGCTACAATTTTTCTATTACTTTAGCTTGATGTCTTTACGAAGTGGAATTGTAGCTAAGAATTGTAAAATATGTGATATGGGTGCCATAAATTGTTGAATGTGATATTTTATATTTTTAGGTGAATTCTGAATTGTCATTCTTATAATGTCTTGAGTACTTAATGACATCCTTGCTTGAGTTTTGCTATCATTTCCCATGCAAAAATATTCTCGTACTACAAGGATTCTTCATTTCGCATTCTTGGCTCAAGACTCAATATTTATGCCCGAATTTGTAGTAAATTATTAATAACTACATAATCGAAGGCATGTATATTTGTCTTGTATCAAGAAGCAGGGCACTTTAAAACATATTATTATTGCTCTTTGAAAATGTATGTGTTCTTGTATTTGTGGAACTCTGCGGGTACAAGAATATAAGAAACTTCGCACTGTCCTTTGTCAGATACCTAGTCATAGTTTCTTCTTAAGCCACCAATTTGGAGTCAAGAAAGTTGCTTCGTGGGTACATCCTAGCCCTCACTTCACAACTTTTCTTAGAATTGCACACTAAATGATTAGATTTACCAGTCTGATTGATTACAAATGCAGTAGGGACCTCAATTATCTTTAGTTAATATAATGGAAAATTTTGCTGATAAATTGAATATAGTGCCAATTTTCTTAAAATTCTTAGTTGCAAATAATTCTTAATTTCTAGATTGCACTCTCTCTGTCCAGTTAAACCCAAACTGGATTGATTTCTCCAATTGTTAAATTTTTATTATTTTTATTATTATTATTTTTTTCAACAGTTAAAACTAGATGAGGTTGTGTAGTGGTGACATCACGGTTAATTGAGTCAAGCTACGGAATGTCATTCTTCTCAGCTCAGCTTAGCTCAACTTTACTAAATCTAGATGTACACTTTTGAAAGAAACTTTAGGCGATGGAGAAAGAAGCTTTACTTTATGCTGCTCTTTTATTGCAATGATGGAGCTTCATATATTACCACTTTTGGGTGTTGATGACATGGATTTTAGACAAAGGAAAAGTTTACATGTATATAATTATTGCACATAATGTTGTCCATAATGTGATGTGACAATTATTCGGTTGATGTGAAAGTGTGAGATTTGAATTAAAGGTTGGATGCCATTATGTAGACAATTATGTACATATAGTACTTCCCTTAGACAAAATATGATCATTCACTATGAAATTAGGATGGACGCTGAAGGAAGTATCTCCCAGTTGGGCTTTCCGTTTTCACTTGCTATAAAGGTCAAGTTTTTTGGGACCATATTAGCATCTACTTCTAGTATTTTCATATTGATTTTTTTTGCAACATGTTCACCAAGCTTTTCCTGCTCCTGCACCTATGTAAAATGGGGTTTTAAGCCAACCGATCCAGCTATTCCCTAATCCACCCCAACTTTTAAAAATATCTATAAATATTACATTTTTACCTACTAAAATTTAATTACAACATTTGAAAATATTTAGTTTGAGAATCTCTAAAATATAAGTATGTGTTTTAATTTAAATGTTTAGTTTTTTTCCGTCATTTGATCATTATGAATGGTTAATGAATGTTATAAATTGCACTCAAAAAATAAAACTTATTGATTTATAGTTCATACTGCTTTCCTTTTTTTTTTTCTTTTTTTTGGGCTTAACCAAAATAAATTTTCTAAATGGGAAATATTCATGCTAGCTCCAGTTCTTAATGCGGTGGCCGGTGGGGATGAGAAATACATAACCAATCCCGACCTCCCCATTACCATTCGTATGTGTTGCCTATGGTGCTCAGCGATCAGTTTTGAGCGGATTGGTTAGTGGATTTTGTTAGTATAATGCTTATATATTGTCATCATTTGGTAGTGGAAGGTATGGAACGAGGCGGGGGTTACCCACTTAATCGGCTAATCAGGTTGAGTGCCCCACCCCGAGGTGGGTGCGGGTAACAGGGGCTCGCCCCATTTAATTTTTTTATTTATTTTTTTAAAGAATTCAACACTTTAAATTGAAAAATTCCACGAAATTTCATTAATTCTATTAGAAGATGTCAACTAAGATTATCTAAAAAATATGATAAATAATAAAAACCTTAGTTTATCAAATATATTTGAATAATTTAACTTTAAAAAATTAATTAATTAATTAAAAATTTTAATAACTATATTATTGTCTTGCTTGACTGAATGGGGGCTAATAAGTGATCAATAACTTAAAAAAATAAAAAAAAAATTTAATTAAAAGAGTACGCAAACGGGGCAAATGTCCTCCCCCGCCCCACCCGAACCCACTCTGTTGCCAACCCTAGTGGTAGGCAAATTATCAGTAAAGAACGGTTAAGGATGATGTCAATGAGGTGATTGTTCCATTTAGGCAATGTTGGTGATTCCTGCAATGTCCTTTCTGGAAAAAGAGGTTTAGTATTAAGCTACTCTATTATTTCTGAGGTGGTGTACTTCCCAAAAGGAGGACTATGAAAGAACAGTTATTCATAGGATTGCGATCCACATGAGCCAGAATTTGGGCAAATGAACTTACTTTTCTCAAATTTGTGTTTCTGCTAAAAGGAAAATGAGTTTCAATATATTAGGATAGGCATATATTTAATGTTTCTACCAGGTCATGCTATCTATTATTTGCTAGTTATGATTCTTGTTTTTGAGAGATATTGAAACTTCTTTTATAATTCACTTCATTTGAGGGCCTTTGTATTTCAGGGGCACTCATTACAGCGGGAGTTCTCACAGCTGGTCTGATTAGTTTCAGACAGGGAAATTCTAACTTGGGTCAGAAACTAATGAGAGCTCGTGTGGTCGCCCAAGGTGCTACTGTGGCTCTAATGGTTGGAACAGCTTATTACTATGGGGAGAAATTTTGATGTTCTCTTCACATGAAGAATAAATTCCTTTCCGGCTTCTTTATTTTCCTGTTTCCATTGTCCTTTTAGGCGAAGGAAGGTTTGTGTACGGCACTTATACGTTCTGTATGCTTCACAATTTTGATGTTGGGCATACGGTTTTTGCTGTCGATCAAAGTTGAAATGTTCAGAAACACAATATTCTGTTTTAAAACATAAAGGAAATTTTCGTTTATAAGAAAAAGTCGATTGGTCTATTTTTGTGATGTTTTGTTTATTCCTCTTTTTTTGGCTGCACAATTGTTGTTCCTCTTGTTATCATCGGTTTCTCGAGGCAACTAAGATGGTGTATTCAATTGAGAATCTGAAACTTTTAATGACTTTTTGGGATTTAAAAAGTTCAGGATATTCAATTAAGACTATTTAAAAGTCATGGTGTATTTAATTGAAATTTTTTATAGGCTTTTAAAAAGTTTCTAAAAGTTACAGTGTATTGAATTAAAATTTTTAAAAAATCTCTATAAGTTTTGCGGTATTTAAATTTCAATGATTTCTAAATACTTTTATAAAAGTCTCTAGAGTATTAATTTTTAAGTAGAAAGTATTCATATAAAATCTTAAAATTTATATCTCATTAATCATGAGATTTTGGGAGACTTTTAAAAAAAAAAAAAAAAAATTCTTTTTTCAATCTTTCTTTTCTTTAACCTTCCATTGACATGTAAGATTAAAATTTATTTTTTTCTATTGATTATATTTCATTTATCTTTCGTTCTCATTTATTATTTATCTCTATTTTTTATGGAAAAAATTAAACTGGATTCTTGTAACTTTTTTTTTCTTTTTTCATTCATTTTTTTGTGAAAAATATATATATTTTTATTAAATTATGAAATTTTATACGAAAAATTTATAATTAAATTTAAATATATTGATTTTTACTTATTTTTAAGTGTGTGTGTGTGTGTCTTATTATTTATTTAATTGAGATCTTAAATTTTTATTTTTATATGGGAAGAAGAAGTGGAAGGAAAAGGGGAATTGTGGGAATTAACACCTTGTATGTGAGAATTGCACACCAGGTCTATCTGAATTCTATTTCAAATAAAATTTTTTTGAATTTCACAAAATTCTATAAAAATTTTAAAATGACAATTCATAAAAGTTTACATAAGACTTCTACTAATTTCATATAAATTTATAAAAGATCTTTAAAATCCACAAAAGTTATCACTTAAAAAAAGTCAATCAAAGTTTTTAATATGTTAGCTAACTGAGATTGATTCAGATTCATGGTTGGAAGATTGCGATTTTTTCCTTGTGAAAACTATGCAATTCTCGTTCCAATTGTAAAATACAAGCCGCTGACTTTGGTGATTCTGAATATTGAGACCAACGATCCATCTACTCCATTTTGGAATTGTTGACAAGTTAAAAGTGCAGCTCAAATTGAATAGCCCAAAAAATGAAGCCCAACTGGGCAATTCAGGATAAATGCCCAAATAGGGTTATTAATGAATGCAGTGGAAGCCCACGAACACGGTAATATCATCGCCCAAACTTGCAAGACGCCCAAGATCTGAGCGAATGAAGTGCCTTGCAGTCGCCTAAAGTTATGACCCTGTTCTCGCCAAACCTTCGAATCGCCCAGGATCTTAGCAAACATAAGATGTTATGGTTATCCAAAAGTGCAGTTATCGAAATAGTTATTGAGTAATCTTATCACGTTCCACGATTCAAGGAGTTCGGTTGAAGACAGTTGAACGACAAAGAGTAGTGGCAGCAGTTAGAGACGGCAATTCCACGATAAGTTGGCCACCATGAAAAAAGTCGGCAGTTATAAAGCAATTAAGCAGTTTCTAAGCGGTTGATAACGAAGAGATCATCAAGTGAATATAAAAGGAAGAAAAGACATAGAGCAACCCGAATCAAACACTCTCAAACAGAGAATATGTAATTTCAATTTCTTAGTTTAGACTTAAATATTTCTTTTCAGTACTCGTGTGCTTGCGCCCCTTGGAGGCATTCTGTTTAGTTCCAATTGTAAAGTCATCGCCAATAAAACACCCCTCTTTGGGACTTTGTTTCAAAAGGTTTGTTCCTTACACAATTGTCTGATCCCTTTTTAATTGTTAGCGACTACCCGCGCGAAACAATTTGGCACTCCCAGTGGGACCTTAGTGTTTGGTGTTGAAGATACAAAAGGTGAAACAATATGCCTCAGAAATCCGATAAGGAAGCAGCAAGTCAGGGAGGAGTCCAGTCTGTGATCGAGCGATATGAGGAGCAGCATAGCTCCCCACGAACAGATGGACAGAATCAGAGCAATCATAGTCGTCACGAACCAATGACAAAGTTGAGTTCTCGGACCATGCGTACATTACTTGGAGAACTCACACAAGATGTCGTTGAACAGGTAAATCTACGAAATATTCTTCATATGGAAAGACTTGCCCAGAATGGGAATGCACATTATGACAACATGACCAAACAACTAAATACTTTGAACGAAATAATGAATAAGTTAGTAGGCCAAATTTGTCAGCCAGTTGTGCCTCTTGCAAACCACTTTCAAACTAGGACAATTGTGAGACATAATCCCCAGTCCTAAGTTTAAATCAAGGGGTAAAACCACCTTTTGATCCCTCTACTTCAAACCAGGGGATGGTGTAATAACAAATTAGAATAGTGGCATTGGTACATCTAACTTGGGGGGTAACCTAAATGTAAGAGATTATGTCCTAAATAATTGGCAGAATACCCCACCTGTTAGTGATGGAATAAATGTTCAGGCTAATGGTAACAATGGCCCAAATCATGACAACTTTGTTGCCAATCAAGGACCAAACATTAGGCCTCAAGCAAATCAACCGATCAACCAACCTGTAGGAATTCCATATGACCCCAACGTCATGTTGAGAAATCAGATTATGGAAATCGTACAGGACCAGATGACTTTTGGAGTACGTCCTATCATTAGGCCGACTTACACAAAGCCATATCCTGATTGGGTAGACCAAGCATATCCATGGCCTAGAGGATATAAAGTGCCAGAATTCTCACTGTCTACCAGTTTAGGAGGTGTCTACTCTAAAACATATAGGGCGATTCACATTGCAAAGTGGTGACGTTACTGATTATCATAAAATGAGGCTGTTTCCTAGTTCATTAACAGGAGTAGCCTTCTCATGGTTCATCAATTTGCCAGCAAACTCTGTTCAAACATGGCAACAATTAGACCAATTGTTCCACGCTCAGTTTTATAAGATTGAGTCTGAAATTATTTTGGCCGATTTGGCGAATCTGCGTCAAATGCCAAACGAATGGGCAGAAGGTTTTCTTCAAAGTTTCAAAACAGCAAGAAGTAAATGTTTTGTACCTTTGTCCGAAAAGGAGTTTGTCAAAATAGCTCAAGGTTGTCTAAGCTTTGATTTGAAGAAGAAGTTCCAAGACAAGGAATTTCCTGATCTTTTCCAATTGAGCGCGAACGTGATTAGGTAAGAACGATTAATAAGAGAAGAACAAAAAATAAAAAATTCTAACAAGGAGACTTATTATAGAGACCCAAATTTTGATGTTCATACCATTAATGACGAGTATTACGATCAAATAGAAATGTGTTTGGCTGAATTAGTTAAAGGAGACACATATACTTGTCCTATAATGGCTAAGCCTAGACCGTCGGGCAAGGATGAGCCTATAAAAGATGAAAACATAAAGGTTAGAACGTTCTCGTTCGATGTAACCAAAATTGACCTTATATTTGATAAATTATATAAGGATAAGCAGATAAAGTTGAGCGATAAGCATAAATTGCCAAGCCCTGAACAAGTTAAGGGTAAAAAATATTGTAAGTGGCATAATGCATGGTCACATTTGACTAACAACTGTTTAGTTTTTCGCCATGCGTTACAAGATGCCATTGAATCAGGACGAATTACGTTCGAGGATAAGAGAAAGATGGCAGTGGATGAAAATCCTTTTCCACAGCCACTTTGACGTCTAGTTTCAAAAATAAGTTGCCAAAATTCAAGTTGGTTATAGATGATGGAGAAGAAGACCCTGGACCACATCCCAATGTCTTTGAACGTATCAAAGGGAAGGAGTCCAAAAAGGACGAAAACGTCCTATGTGCAAGATGCAAAAAAGAAGTGAGTGCAAATGCAGAGAAACCAGGAATATGGCAGCATCACCATCGCCCTAGCTTTTCCCAAATGCTCAGCCTGGTAGAGGGCGGGGTACATTGTTCTATAAGGGACCGCCTTTTGAGAGGCAGTTCAGGCCAGTAAATAATGGGAGAACATTCAGACCGCAACCTCGCCAACCAAATGTATGACATTCGTTTCAGTATAAGGCTGGAAGGGTGATACCTTTCAACAAGATGACTAGAACCCAACAAAGGCGTTTTCAACGAAACTATGGGCAAATGATGAGGCAACAACAAGGAATGCTACGTCCTAAGGCACCTAGACTACTCGAGGCAGCCAATCAAAATGTTCTCAAAGACAGTGAAGAGACTGGTACAGGCGAACCTATGGAAGAATTGCCAGAGACTTCTTCTGGGAGGTCGAAGTTTAAGCGAGACAGAAGGGATGGAGAAGATCCAGATCATCCCCTTACTATTCAGTTTGGTACGTTATCTCCTGTCGTGGCTAATAACTATTTACTAGCCAATGAGTTCAAGAATAAAGAGAATGGAGAAGAAAAAAAGGAGGATAACGAAGAGGAAGCATGCATGCTGGAATATAAAGAAGGCCAAACTTCTAGAGAGGCCTACAATGATGAAGAAGATGATGGTATGATAGATATCGAAGATGAAATCGATCTGGAAGCAGAAATGAGAAGAAGAGGAGTATCGTAAAATACTCTGTTAAAGCAACTACATCGAGAGGGAGTTCGTAAAGTAGACTTATTGGGAGAACCACTGGGCGTTCTTTCGATTATTACGTGCTGTACAGGATGCCCAAAAGGAAGAAGAGTATGCCTCGCTCTGAAAAGTATCGATCACCTCCAAGAATAATGCCTCCTCCCACAGGTTGGGTAACTGAAGAAGAAGCATTAGAAAAAGTAAAAAGAAAATTCAGGAGACAGAGGTTCGGTGCGATATGCTGCACGTTGACTTATCACAAAAGGGTAACTCGACAGAAGACAAGCAGGAAGTGGAAATAGATGCTGCCGAAAAGGTTATTTTTAAGCGACCAGCCATGAAATTGACCAAACACTTGAGGCCATTGTACGTTAAAACTCTAGTTAAAGG